CAAGGAATATTTTAAAACCCGTTTTTTTTTTTTTTTTCCCCCAAGGGGGGGGTTGCCCCTTTGGGGCCCCCCATCCCTTCGGGAAAATGAACCCCCCTTTGAATTTTTCCCCCCTTTTTTTATCCCCACCCAAAGGGTTTTTTCCTTTCCCTTTCACCCTTTTTTGGAAACCAAAAAAACCCCCCCCCCCCCCCCGGGGGGCCATTTTTTTCCCTTTGGTTTTTTTTTTCCCACGTCCCCTTTAACCCCCCCCCCCCCCCCCCCCCATTCCACTATTATCAAGTATCTTACCTCCATCTCTACCAACTCCTGGAGCTCAGCGTCCCCCTCGGAAAGAAGGTCAACCTTGTTGAGGAACACCACCAGCTCCGGCACGCCAACCTTTGGATGGATTGGATTGATTCACGACACGATGAAACAAAATTGAAGGAAGGAAGGACCATACAAACCCGACACGACACGAAACCAAACGAACGCAGCCACAGACGAGCAGCAACAATCGCAAGCGATAGACGACGCAAGAAGAAGAACTCGGTCAAGACGAGGCAGCAAGCACCTCGCAGCAGCAGCAGCAGCAGCAGCAGCAGCAGCAGCAGCAGCAGCAGCAGCAGCAGCGATCGATTCTATACCCACGCCCGCGGAAGAGGTTTGTTAACGCTCGAGAACTCCAGCTTGCAAGACGGTGGGCCAACATTTTTTTTTTCATGAAACCGCACGTCGTCAGATGGGACTTGAAAGAATAATTCGGGGTTCTGGACCATGGCGCCCTACCCCAAAACGAACAAGCGACTCGCCTGGTGTGCAAGAAGGATGTGCTCCCGGGTCTGCGGCATTGGTCCGTCCGTCACCGAGACCACCAAGATGCCCCTGAATACGAGAGCAATGAAAAACGGGGATATAGCAACAGAAGCGGCCGGTGTGTGTGTGTGTGTGGGTCACGACAGCAGGTGGTATGCAGACAAGGGCTAAGGGAGAAACAGCCGTGTTATTAGTTGTCGGTTGCAGCTGAAATGAGCAGCCGTAGAGCGGCAAACAAAAAAAAAAAACGTACACCCGACATCGTTTTTCTTTCGTAGGGGCGACAAAAAACATACGGGAAATCGCAAGTACACAGCCGAACAGCGAGATCGATGTCCACACTCAACAAACGGGCCCACAGAGCGCAACAAATGGCAGCAGGGGTTGCATCATCAGCAGGAGGGGAGAGCAAACACGGCGGTGCCGGCAACGGGAAACAACGGCAGCAGACGCAGCGAGCGACGACATACTTCCAGCAGCGCCCAAAGACAAGCGTTTGTGACGCGCGCGGTAAGCCGTGCCCCGTGACCACGAGGCGGAGGCGGCAGACGATGCCTTGCAGGGACCAAAGGCAGCGCCACACTCCCCCCCGAACCTTCCCACGAGTACCTTCAGCCTCTCAAGCCCCGCCGCCGATCATCGCCAACAACGGAGGCAGGCGACCCGTTTACTTCGCTAGCCACCACAACCATTCGCCAACCACGATTGACAAGCTCTAGCCCGGGGCGCCCTACTCCTCACCCGTCCATCTGAGCGGCACCAGTAATCATATTCTTAACATAGTCGGCGTGCCCGGGGCAGTCCACGTGCGCGTAGTGCCGGTTCGCGGTCTCGTACTCAACATGGGCCGTGTTGATGGTGATTTTGCGTGCCCTGGGAAGGAGGGGGCGAGGGGGGGGGGGGGGGAGGCAAGACACACGAAAGGAGAACAGCCAGAGGGGAAAAGGTCTCTCATGTCTCGATTGCCGAATATTTCCCCCGGACGCCGCGCTCAAGCCTGCAGGCAAGCCGCTCACGTTGCTGTTTGTACCTCCAGAACAAAACAAATGATGGGAACCAAAAAACATGTGAATACTTCCGAACACGGTGACTTCCACATCCCAGTGGTTTTCTTCCACGCTCTCCGTGACTATACCAATAGACCTCTCTTGGAGAGTTCAGCTTGCAAGATTGTAGTCCAACCAGACTACTTCCATTGGATTCAAAAGCGGAGAAACAACAACGCGAGGGTGGGCAAGTCCCGACCTCCTCGGTACATTCATCCACCAGACCGCATCGAACGAATCGCTATCGCTTGGCGCGACCAGTCCAGCCTGGGGGGGGGGGGGACTCACTTCTCCTCCGGGGCGTTGTCGATATCGGTGTAGGACCTCGCCTTGCACAGGCCCTTGTCGGACAACACCTTGGTGATTGCCTTCGGATCGACGAGTTCAGTCCCGATCCAGCGTGTCAACGCCCCCCCCCAAAGTTGCACCGCGCGAGGGAAGATACGGGCGCGCGAAAAGAAGACGAGGTATAATCGTGAGAAGGAGCAACGGGGGTGACTTATCGACTTCCTGTACGTGAAATCAGGCCGCTAACCCTACAGTACACTGACTTCATTATATCCAACTCATTTGAAAACGCTGCAGGACCCTGATTGCACCCCGCTCGAAGTCGGGGTTCCACAAGCGAATTGAGGGTCGACTCTCTTGGGCGCCTTCAATGAGAGGGCTCCCAGTACAGCGACGGCCGTCACGCCCAGCCCATCAGCTCCAGAGGAATGATTCTCATGAACACTATCCCCTCCGGAGTATAAACTGAATGCTCAGCGACGTTTACGGCTCTCGGTTGTTCATGCACGATCTCCATGTGGCGTTCGCACCGCTTGGTGTGGGTGCGTGGTTGTGCACATGGGGGATGATTGCGCTACTTTCTTTCCAAGAGGCAAGATTGACAGCAGTGCCTTCTACTCGATTTTACTGTTATGTAGTAGAAGGCCCTGGGTCGGACGGTACATGTGTCCTGCATGGTGGGTGCATTGATACGTACGCATCCAATCTCAGAGGTGCCGTGCAAAAACCTGCTGGTGGTTGGGTTATGTACCCCCCGCTAGTCATCACCCGGATGCCAAACACGCTGGTAGGCGTGAAGCCATGCAGGCCGAATTTATCTCATCTAACGTTCAAAATGCCCCGCCGTGTACAGCAGCACGGCTACTTACTGCTGTTGCAAACACGCACAAGGGAGAGCATCCAGATGTATGTACGTTCAAGACAAACATCATCCCCAACTGCTGCACAGAAGCACCACACCACCCTATGACTCTCTTCTTTTAGCTGTTTTCGTGGCTAATTTCCCCTCATGTTCATCGTACGGTACGGGGTGTTACATTGTCGTCTGTATATCAGCTCTGGTGTCCAGATGTCTTTGTTTCCTAATGTATGCTGTCGAGTCGGAGGCCACACACAGCAGGAGGCCAAACAGAGTCGTGTGCAACCACCAAGGAAGCTCCTGCAACGTGGGGCACAGATCACGACCATTTGGAGCCTTTCAAACGTCTCATCTCCGAGCTACAAGTAGGCAAGAGGTGTCCGGCCTGTGGGTCTACAGCACCCAGCGATGCCTGCTAGTCATTGGAGCGGCCCTGGGCGCTTCGTCAGTAACGCCGCGTTCGCTCCACTCGGCAGGTGCAACCCGATTCCGAAACCCACTTGCTGCGACACGAGGTGGACCATCACATTGCACTCACCGCCGTGAGCGTGGTCTTGCCGTGGTCAACGTGTCCAATGGTGCCGATGTTTACGTGCGGCTTGGAGCGCTCGAAGGTCGAAAGCTCAGCGGCCGCCGAAGCCCCCGACAATCGTGGTTCCGCGGGGCCTGCTACACGCGTGGCGCGCAGGGCGCTGCTCAGCTTGAAAGACTCCGCGCACTTCGAGCGAGCGCGAACAGACGCACGGTTGGCAGCAAGTCGTAGCGCCATGTTTTGATAGCAGGGGTCACAGCCGTCACAGCAGCACAGCAACAGGCAGCACTGCGACGGATCGGTCACCCGCGAGGCGTGGAGAGAGGGGGTCGGTGGATGGGAGTATGTGTCAGAGAGGCTCCGCGAAATACACTGGGTACCCCACCGGGCATTCTTATGATCTTGTGTGTGGATGGATCGTATCTTTCCTCTACAAGAACAAATACATGCGCAACAAAGATAGCACAGTAGTAGTTCTTGTTGCCTTCGAGAAACCTTTGACCCCATGATACATTGGCCACGGCTTGAACAATAGTCTCTACTACACTCTGTATGACGAGAAGAGTAGCCGAAACGGCTGAAGATTTCAAAACAGCTTCACCCAATCAACCAAACGTCTTTCGCATCGACCGGGCGTACATGGGTGCCCAAGGCCAGGTTGTGGGTAGGTTGGGGCACCGACTACAATCTAGGGTGGGGAGGTCGCATGCCGAAGTGTGCAGCGAATCCCGCATCTGGGAGAGTGGCGTCTATCCAGCATATATATGCGGTGGACTGGCAGCACCGTGTTCGTTCATGGTGATCCGTCCCTTTCAACTTTCGCACCCCCACCAACGTTAACCTTCACAGATTGTGATCGGTGCCAAACCTTCCCCTCTGGCGATACCTGGTACATCTTGCTGCCTGGATAATACTATCAGACAAGGGCGGTGGTGTTGGCATTATCGCCCCGTGTTGAAGACATGCAAAGACGTTGGGTGTAGCGTGAGGGTGACGCTTCACATCAATATATCGAAACTCGACGTCCAATCGGTTCGAAACAATTTTCTTGCAGAACGAAAAGGCGGGGTAATTTAGTGAACACGTTCGCATCGCTGGAGTCAAGGAGTGGAGGCAACAACAGCAACAACCACACAATCCACCTTTCGTAGAAAATAGACTATACCCGTTCGAGAAAAAAACCGTTCGTTCTTTAGTCTTTACAGCAGTGAGCGATGGATGAAGAAAGCCTGCTGATTGCTGAACAAATGTGCATCTGCCTACATAGACCACAGTAGCCTACACTGAGACATTAAATACTTCTTTCAACGCCTAAACAACCCACTAAACTCGTAACTCGCGAATCCGGTGTATGCATACGACGACACAAAAAGAGTCCATAAATTTCGCTCACCACCGTGCGCTATCGAGACGCTCCACCGGACCGAATGTGACCACGGTTCTTCGAGAACAGATACCGCCCTCTTCTCGGAAAAATCTGATACGCTAGTGGACACATGACACTCCGACAAACAGCTGGTACTGTACGCCACAGAAATAGCGGTAGCATATCATCTAGCTAAACTTGACCGCAGAATCGACCTCCAGCGTGACACTACACAACAAACCGTGAAAGCCCTTGAAAACAACGTCAAACATGAAGCTAAAATAGCGGGGAATCTTAACCTTCATGCCCAAAACATTTCTTTAACACGAACAAACAACATTCTTCTCTTGTGAGCTTGCCTACCCTAACTCAACGAAAAAAAAAAAAAAATGAAACTATTCCTCGTCTTCGTGGAGGGAGGTTCAAAATTGGTTCTCTCGAGTGGTCGGGGAGTGGTCGGGGATCTTTCTGGGTATTGTGGTTTTCATTTACCCATACGGTGGGGTAGGCTACACCACCACGAAACATTGTTATGCCACCTTTGAGTTAGGAAATCGGAGAGGGACGACAAGTTGGGACGGTTGAACAACATGCAGACAACAGCAACAAAGGGGAAAGGCTACCGAAACACTTTGGTATATCCTGTCGTGTGAAATCCACCAAGGATAACAAGCATGTCATGTTGTCCTCATTTTTCCCGATAACCAAGAGCAACAAACAAATATACGTATCATTTCCTGACTTTCTCGGTCTCCACCCCCAAGCCAGTTTTCCTGACCAGACCCTCCACCATCACTCCCCCGCCACGTCAAGAGCCTGGCTCCTACCGTCGTCCCCGTCCCCCGCGGCCACCGCCACGCCTCTTTCTGGCCTCGCTACCGCCGTCGGCATTGGTATCATCCCCGTTCCCCTGTCCATTTCCGCCGCCACCACCCCCTCCGGCTTTTCCTGTTTTCTTGCCTGCTCACGGGCAAGGAAGCACGAGCGACGGGTGCAAGACATAAATTTCCCGTAAGAATTAAGTAACTACCGTAAGAGTCGGAGAGTTGGCACCGGGTGCGATCGTTTTCCAAATGTTTTTTCCTTGGGTTTTTTATCGCACCCCGGTGCCATCTCTCCGACCCCGGTGCGGAAATGCAATTAAATCAGTTCGTTTCGAATTTTCAAGGCACCCCGGTGCGATCTCTCCGACCGGTGCGATCTCCGATGAAATAAATACACACAGGTGTTGCACCCCGGTGTGATCTCTCCGACCGATGTGATCCCCGATGAAATGCACACAGGTGTTGTATGCACGCACCCCGGTGCCATCTCCCCGACCGTTGCCATAGTATTGATTGGTCTTGTGTTTGATGCGAGTTTGGCTATGGCACGACAAGAACAAACGGTGTCGTTTCCATCTGAACGTGGTACCAGTACACACGGTATCAATTGTTTCCCGCTTTCGTGTCGGTCTTCTTCTACGGATACCAGTACGTACGCAGAAGTACAGCAGTTTCGGGTTGTGTAAGGTGGGGTAGGGTGCGGCTTGTACGTTTTGTGTTTGGTTGAGTGTACGGTTGGCAACTTCCATACCAATAAAAATATATGAAAACAACTGGCATCCCGCGTGAACCGCGACCATCCAATCGGGCGCAAAGGAGTGGCGCTCCGCTGACTCCGTCCCCACGTGTAAAAGGTAATCTCATGTACCTCATTCGGGCAGCTGAAAAGGAGTTCAATCTTAGATTTGGGGGTCGGAGAGATCGCACCGGGTGCGACCGGTGCCATCTCTCCGGCCGGTGCCAACTCTCCGACTCTTACGGTAGGCAACAAGCTTTGCCAATAGGGACTTGGACTATGTCTTCGTGCCTTCTCTGTCTACATCGCGCTGTATCCACCCCTGATCTGTCGGCATCCCTCCTCTCTCTATTTCTGCCTAATAGCTCTCTCTTACACGACTCGCTCGTTGCCTCTCCATAAACATTCATGTGCAAACACAGAAACGACGTGTAA